TTTTTTTTTGAGACAGGGTCTTGTTCTGTTGCCCAGGCTGGAGTGCAGTGGCGCAATCTTAACTCACTACAATCTCTGCCTCCGTGGTTCAAGAGATCCTCCTACCTCAGCTTCCCGAGTATCTGGGACTACAGGTGTGTGCCACCTGGCCCTGCTAATTTTTGTATTTTTAGTAGAGATGGGGATTCACCATGTTGACCAGGCTGGTCTCAGACTCCTGACCTAAGGAGTCTGCCCACCTTGGCCTCCCAAAGTGCTGGGCTTACAGGTGTGAGCCACTGCACCCAGCCCGGCAGTGTACCTTCATGAAGACATTTACAAAAGTGGAATTGTAGAATCTCATTGCAAATCAGTATTCATAGATGAATATTTGCAATCAATTTTGATGAAAGGGAAAACTATTTTAAACCCCAGTTAAGTGAAATGTTATTCCCCCATAAAAGAATTTCATTCTTCTCATCAGTGGATGTGTATTATAAAAAATTGTACTCAATTATTATAATCTGAATTGTGTCAACATTTTGTGGAGATTTGTTTTCTCTTGTAATAGGAGTACCTACTTAATATCTTTGATTTTGCCTCTTAGCCCACAAAACTTAAAATATTTACCTCTGGCCTTTTACAGAAATGTTCGTCAACCCCTAGCTTAAAACATTAATTTTTCTCTTTTTCTTCTTTTCTGGTATATGCTTTAAAGGCGATGAAAATCTCACTGTATTCTCTGTTTTAACTGCATCCCAGAGATGCTGATGTATTGCAGTTTCGTACTGTTTAGTACAGGATATATTCTGGTTTCCGTTTAACGCATTCTTTTTATTTATTTATTTAAAGAGAGTCTTGTTCTGTTGCCCAGTCTGGAGTGTAGTGGCGAGATCATAGCTCACTGCAGCCTCAAACTCCTGAGCTCAAGCAATCCTCCCACCTCAGCCTCCTGAGAAGTTGAGATTATATAGGTACAAATTGTCATGCCTGTTTGATGTCTTCTTTCACTTACATATTACTTAGAAGTATATTGCATAATTTCTGAACATTCGGAGATTTAAAAAATCTTTGTTACTGAGCTCTAATTAAATCCTAAAGTGGTCAGAGTGCATGTATACATGATGTCAGTCTTGAGATTTGTTGAGGTTTACTTTATAGCCCAGCGTATAGCCCATTTTGGCAGATACCCAATGTATATTTGAAGTGACATTTTTCAGCTCTTTTGTCGTCTTCTGAAGCTTTGGCTATCCAAATAAGGTTGGTCCCTGTAACATTCTGTACCTACTCTGTACAGATTCCCAGTTTCTACTCACTTAAAATAGGTGTGCTTGTATTTTTAGTGTATATTTCTGCTTTCTCAACCCAGGAGTTTTTTTCCTTCCCCTTGTGGTTATATGCAGCTTATAGGTAAGAAAAACCTTTGTAATGTACTTGAATCTCAGCAGTCCTCAGTTCATTATCAAGTGCCATAGTCCCTAACCATTAAATTAAGTGTTGACCTTATACATAAGGACTTCGTATAAGAATGAGTTCGTTTCTTGTTGACTCCTGTCATGTTGTACCATTGTTCTCTTCACACTGGTCTGACTTGCCTTTGACAAAAGGAAGGGAGTGTGCTTTGCATGGCTGTGTGCTTTCCTAATACCAAGAAGCTATCTAAAGATACTTAACTGTGCTGTGAACTAAAGCTATTGTGTTTGATCTACCCAGCCATCCAGCTGACCCCTGTATACACAATTCTACCTGTTCAGTTCTGTTGATGTTTAAGTTGCCTCTGTTCTTTGGTGGGAAAAGAGGTGATGTATAAAAATTGACTGCTTTGTATAAGGCTTGGTGTGTTAGGTGCTAAATCACTTAACTTTTTCTTGATTTGGGGATCTATTCTCCTTGGTTTTTTTTTTGTTTTTTTTTTGTTTGTTTTTTCCCTTCTTTTAGAGACAGAGTCTTGCTCTGTCACCCAGGCTGGAGTGCAGTGGTGTGATCATAGCTCATTGCAGCCTCCAACTCCTGGGCTCAAGTGATCCTCCTGCCTCCACCTCCCAAGTAGCTGGTACTACAGGCACACATCACCATGCCTGGCTGATTTTTTTACTTTTTGTAGAGACGGTGTGTTGCTGTGTTGCCCAGGGTGGTCTTGAATTCCTGAGCTCAACCGATCCTCCTGCCGTGGCCTTCCAAAGTGTCAGGATTATAGGTGTGAGCCACCATGCCCAGCTGAGATCTGTTTTTTACTATTTCACAATAATTGCTGGAAATATTTGTAATAGTGTGACTTTCACTGCTAAGACAGAAAAGGAAGATAAGGAAATTGAGGAAAATGAAGCTTCTGCTTCTATAACAGGAAAGCATAAACTTTTGAGTTACTTTTAGAGTAAACGGAGATAAGCATGTCTAGATTCTTGACCCACCCTCTTCTGCCACAGTCAGACTTAGAATGCACTTTTGCATGCACTTTTGTTAATCTAATTAATGATCATTTATATGCTTTCTAGTTAGTCAATACGTGTAACTTTATATTTCAGCTCATGAGAGCTTCTGCCCCATGCTGCAGGGAAGTGTATAGCTCTTCAGCTGTGCAGCCAGGATGAGAACTCATGTTCTGTTCTTCCTGCTACTGATGAGACAGGGGAGGCACATGTACATCCAGGCTCTTTCTGCATGGCAGGGCTGTTTAATTAGGGCTGATGGAAGTTTTTGTCATAGAAAATGGGCAATCAGATTTGCAGTTAGTAGTGAAATAATTGACTCTCAATCCATATTGGGAAACAGAAGATAAAACGTTGGTAATAAAAATGTAAATTTTAGAACATAGAACACAAAGAGTGGACCATAAACCGGGCGCTACAACTCACACCCATAATCCCAACACTTTGGGAGGCCGAGGCAGGTGGATCATGAGGTCAAGAGATCAAGACTGTCCTGGCCAACGTGGTGAAACCCCATCTCTACTAAAAATACAAAAATTAGCTGGGTGTGGTGGTGAACGCCTCTAACCCCCGTACTCGGAGACTGAGTCATGAGAATTGCTTGAACCAGGCAGGCTGAGATTGCAGTGATCCAAGATCACGCCACTGCACTCCAGCCTGGGCAACAGAGCGAGACTCCATCTCAAAAGAAAAAAACAAAAACAAAAACAGGGCCAGGCACGGTGGCTCATGCCTGTAATCCCAGTACTTTGGGAGGCTGAGGCAGGCAGATCACAGGGTTAGGAGTTCGAAACCAGCCTGACCAACATGGTGAAACCCCACCTCTACTAAAAATACAAAAATTTGCCAGGCTGGTGGCACATGCCTGTAATCCCAACTACTCAGGAGGCTGAGGTAGGAGAATTGCTTGAACGTGGGAGTTGGAGGTTGCAGTGAGCTGAGATCGTGCCACTGCACTCTAGCCTGGGTGACAGAGCGAGACTCTATCTCAAAAAAACCCAAAAAAACCAAGAGTGGACCCTAATGTAACCTATGGAACTTCAGTTAATAATGAATCTGTATTGGCTCATCAATTGTAACAAAGGTACCACACTAATGGAAGATGTTAATAATAGGAAAAACAGATGGGGAGGATGGGGGAGGTACAGAGGTATATGGAAACACTCTGTACTATCTGATCAGTTTTTCTGTAGAACCTAAGAGGCCAAAAAAAAGAAAACTGTTTAAAATTTTTAAATATCTAGCTTACTGTTCCCCAGTGGGTTCAAATCATACAAAGTTAGTGTTTAACCTCCTGACCCTTGCTTGGGATTTCTCAGTTAAGATGGGTCCAGTTTGCAGTTTGAGCCCGTTTCATCAGTTCCGTTTGCCTCTTGCCCGTGTGTTAACTGTGCTCTTGCCTTTCTCCCTATCTGCTGGAATAGCTGGAATGCCAAGATGCCTTGGAAACAGCCGCCCGAGCCGAGGGCCTCTCTCTGGATGTCTCCATGCATTCTCAGCTCAGAATCCTGGACGAGGAGCATCCCAAGGGAAAGTACCACCATGGCTTGAGTGCTCTGAAGCCCATCCGGACTACTTCCAAGTAAGATGCCCTGCCGGCTGATGACATGAAGCATCAAAGGCATTTTTTTTTTTTTTTTTTTTTTTTTTAGACGGAGTCTTGCTCTGTCGCCAGGCTGGAGTGCAATGGTACGGTCTCGGCCCACTGCAATCTCCGCCTCCTGGGTTCAAGTGATTCTCCTGCCTCAGCCTCCTGAGTATCTGGGACTACAGGCACCACCAAGCCCAGCTAATTTTTTTGTATTTTTAGTAGAGACGAGGTTTCACCATATTGGCCAGGATGGTCTCAATCTCCTGACCTCATGATCCGCCTGCCTTGGCCTCCCAAAATGCTGGGATTACAGGTGTGAGCCACCACACCCAGCCCATCAAAGCCGTTTTAGAACATTCAGGCCAAGATTAGATCAGCTGGGGAGACCTGTCTTTAGTTAAGAGCTCTGTTCACTAAACTCTGTCTTTTAAACACGGGCTGCCCTCTCCGTGCGTGTTGATAGCTTTGTGATTTCGGTTTTCTCTCCTTAGACACCAGCACCCAGTGGACAATGCTGGGCTTTTTTCCTGTATGACTTTTTCGTGGCTTTCTTCTCTGGCCCGTGTGGCCCACAAGAAGGGGGAACTCTCAATGGAAGACGTGTGGTCTCTGTCCAAGCACGAGTCTTCTGACGTGAACTGCAGAAGGTAGGCGCCTCTGGTCCACCCTCATCTCCCCCATGCTGGGTGGGCAGGGCCTGAGCTAGGAGTGTGAAGTCCACAGCTCTGTGTCTTTAAAGAGCCAAGCTGTCCAGTGGAGGGTGGGCGGCCTGGGGATGACTTTCTCTTTGCTCTTTTGCTTTATCTCCTATTTCACCTTTGATCCTGTTTTAACCACGGGCTTTCTCTCTCTCTCTCAGCCCCGCTTCTCTTCCTGAGTCTGCAGGGAGATTATGTTGCTGCCTTGTGACAGAATACATTTTTGTGGTAGCTGATTGTCATGATTAAAATCTAGTTTACAACTTCACATTTTACTACAGGAACCTTCAGAAAGGGTCGGGGGCCCCTGAAAAAGGAAGTTCTTATTCACAAATTGCATTCAGGGATCATTTCCTGGGTGGAAAGAAAGGCTTTTGCTCTCATCATTTTCTGTATCCTGGGAGGCTCCCTATACAGGGTAAATATGTAGTTCCCCAGGAAGGGTATTTTTTCCCAGAAGGTGAAGACTGTGTACATAATTTTAAAGGAGAGACTTATGTGAGTGGTGGCAAAACCTGGAGACAAAAAGTGGTGGCAGGCGGGGAGCTAGGTGTGCCTTTCCCCCGGGGAGATGTGTAACGAGGACGTGTGCCCTTATTAAGACTAGAGAGACTGTGGCAAGAAGAACTGAATGAAGTTGGGCCAGACGCTGCTTCCCTGCGAAGGGTTGTGTGGATCTTCTGCCGCACCAGGCTCATCCTGTCCATCGTGTGCCTGATGATCACGCAGCTGGCTGGCTTCAGTGGACCAGTAAGTTCTAACCATCCTTTCCGACAGTCTCCAGGGGCCCGGCCACGGCCAGCTCTAACACTCTTATTCTGTTCCAGGGGTTGTGCTCAGCTTTGGGCTAGGTAGCAGTCTTAGAGATGCCTTCAGGACTGTTGAAAGGGGTCGATGGATTTTGGAGTGAATGGTGGCTTGGCAACAGCTGGAAGGATGAAAGGGCAGTGTTGCCAGAGAAGAAATGGAACTGGCTTGATTTCTGGGCGGGGGTAAAATGGAACTGATTCCAGTTCTGCACAGGACTGTGCTTCTCGGTTGTGTGTTGACATGAAATGATAGTCGGTGCAGGCAGATGTGTCTTGCAGTGCTGTGAGTGGGTGAGAGCACATTATGTGGCCTGGGCTGGTGAGCCAGCGCTGGGGACATACCGAGTGCCTGGAGGCAGAGTTATCACACGTTTGGCGGGTCCGTGGCAAATAAGCCCTGAGAAAACTAGAGGACTGTCGAGGATTTTAGAGTCTGACCTGGAGTCCATTTAAGTTTGACTTATAGTGTAACTGTGTGGCAAGCGTTGGGGTGGCAGCCGTGGTTTTCCCCAGTCTGTACTGATGCAGAATAGACAAGAGAGCCTTTGACATTCACTCTGTTTCCTGGGCACCTGTTTCTTACACTTGCTGTGCTGCCTTACACTTGAGACCTTGATTAAATCTATTCTCTACACATTTGCCTTGAGGCATCGGAGCAGTAGTACTGCTTGTACTGTGCGTTTTCCGTGTGTGGGTAAAGCTGGAGGTTCATGGTTTTGGTAAGTATGTGCCTCAGATGCATGGTGATTAGGTAAAACTAATTTGCAGTTTTGTTTTTGTTTTTGTTTTTTTAATGTTTGATGCCTCTTGTTAAAGTTTTGATCTCTTTTCTGAAGCAGAGAACACTACTTTTCTGGTATTGGGTTTCTATATTATTAATAATTGACCAACTAACATACTTTATATAAAAGTTTTAAGTAAGAAGGACCATGTAACTGAAATGTTGTGTTATGTAATTTACCAAAATGGCAAACACTTTCATAGAGCCAGCTTCCCCCAAGAAGAGCTTCTGTCATTGTTTCACTACAGGGCTGGTGGCTGCTCTTACCTCATAGAATTCATTCCTCTGGGTAGCACCCTATGCAGGCTTTCCGAATAAAGTGATCATGGGCTTTCTTGATTCCATTTGGCCAATGCAAGAACTTCATTGACTCCCCTCTAAAAAAAAATTCCATGGATTGTTGGGAATTTTATTTTTATTTTTTGAAAAAAAGTTACCTATCCATATTCAGCTTGGTGGCTTCACGGTCACTCCCCCTGAACATTCGTATATTCCGTAATCTCTCATTTATGGTGCAGAACACTGGGATATTAACCTCTAGGAAACTGTTCTAGCTGCCAGGGAAAGCTAAGAGCCCTCCTTTCACAGGAAAGCAGCAGCGTGCTTTTTCTTCTCTCTGCCCTTTCAGGGAAGAGCATCTTAAGGCCAGTGTTATTTCATGGGATTCTGTCCTGGAACTGAGAAAGCAATGGACTCATCTGTAGTGTCTTATACATTTAAAAGTGTAAATAATACACACTTCCTTTTTTGGAACTCCAATTCTAGTATGTTTCTTTTCCATTGGAAATTGAAAAACCAGGCTGGTTTTGAGATTAGTACTAGCAGTGAGTAAACCTCCTTTCTGTGGCCTTAAATCCTTTTGAGGAACATTCGTTTTAGATTTTTGCAAGTTTCCTAATCTGGCACGACTTTCAAACTAGCTTAATCTGTCCTTACAGAAACCTGTATAAGGACAGACTGCCCACATACGGGCTCCCCAAATAAAACGGCATTTTTATTTCTTGTCCCTGCTCGGGTTTCACCGAACCTTGGTAGCCATACACAGAACAAATGAAACACAATCAAGTTGTTGTGCTGTGTTTGTTTTTACCTACCGGCCAGCTGATGCTGACATTTATACACCAAGATGATCCAAGGCTTTGGTGATGCCAGTGGACTAGCGCCATATGTGCAGGGTGCCTGGGGGTCATAATAATGTTCATGGAGTACCAGACTCTCTAACAGTATGGTCCTGTGTAGCCACATTGCTACACTTACAGAGATGCTTTGGGGCCTTTTTGGATTAAGACAGTTCTAAAAGACCAGGCCTCACCTGTGATCTGTGTATAAAGAATTAGCATCGCACCTAGATCTGCAAGAGAAGGCCGCCTCCTGCAGTGCTATCTCTTGGTGAATGCTAACTCTGCCCGAGGGCCTTTTGGGGAAAGGACAGTGTAAAACCCTTAGAGAGGTAAGTTTCCCACCCTTCCAACCTCTCTCCACCTGCAGCTTGCTTGGTGCTGTCAGGATCTGGATTTGGGGGGAGTCTCTCTGTAGTGGAACCAGTGACAGAAGCTGTTCTTTAGAATTTTCAGGATGGCTGTATTCTGCGGTCAGAATGAGAGAGTCAAGCTGGGCAGAATCTCTCGCCAAGAGTTCAGGTAAGGTAATGTTTATTCACTGGGAATGCTTTCCACAGCCAGACAGCTATGCTAACAGTCTCAAGTTTTCTTCCACTTTGTTTAGATTTAAATGATACGTTTGTAACTTTTTAAAAACTAAATTTTGGTTGGATTTTTCGTGGAAATCTCTTTTTTCTTTATCCCCTAAAAAATGGTTTGAAATGTCATTGTTATTTAAAAACCCGATGTGTTGGAACTTCTTTAATCTGCTGTTTCCTCTTTTCCCCCCCCCCTTTGAAAGTTTCGCATAGTATAAACATTCACTCTGTCTTTTACCTTCCCTGCTCCTCCCCTCTGGGAGGCGCTGATGCTATTACCTGGTGCTGAAAAATGGCACTCTAAAGGTATGGGAAGGAAGGAGCCCAAGGCAACCACCTGCTGTCCTTTCAGCCTTCCTTTGGAGACTGCTCCATCAGTGCTGAGGTGTGTGGGAACAGGCGTCACTGCACCGCCATCTTACTGAGTTGCTTCACGTGAGGAAAAGGGGGCTTTGGCCCTGTGACTCAGTTCCACATTTTGGATTGCATACTGGAAAAGAAGCCAATCTTCTTGCTAGTAAACCAGCAACCCGGCTGTATACAGTGGTGACCCAAGCAATGGATATAAATCTAAAAGTCTGAGGGAGGGGAGAGGTGGAATACAGTAGTTCTTGGAATCTGAAGTCTCCTATTTGATCAGGTTATTTCCTGGGACTTGGCAAAAATCTGATTGGTGGGGATCTCCTAGGACCTAGTGGACATCTGGTATTAATTTAATCTCAGGAAAAACAAGAAATTAACCCAGAGAGATTCTGGGTTCTGGAATTCAGCATAGCTACCTCCGGACCGTGTTGTCTGGCCTCCATTTTTGTCTGTCATTCAGCTCTGACTTACAGCTGCAGTCACCTTTGCTGTAAGGAACCTGGGTATAGGGGTGGATGGGCTTCACGTTAATTTTTTTCTTCCTTTAGGGTGGGGGATTGGTTTGGCTTTCTTTTGTTGTTGTTTTTTGTTTTATTTTTGTCAATCAAGATTGATTTTTAGATGCAAGGACTTGAAAAGACCCAGAAGGATGCCACCAGTTTTTCCTTGAGGCCTAGGATTTTTTTTTCTGTCCCGAGCAGAGGTAATTCCTCACAGCTTAGTGCACCCGTGGCACCAGCCATTTTGAGCAGAGCACCTCTTTGGGGAGCTTTTCGTTTTGTTTTGTTTTTAATTCTCTTTCCTTAGCAGCAAGGTCTTTTTTCCTAGAGAATCTACTCCATTGCAGAATCATTGCAACCTCAGGAGCCCTCACTGATTGAGTGCTGTCAGCCTGATATACTACTTTGGACTCTGGAAACAGATATGGGTTCTATTCTCTATTTCTACTGTGTGTCGTTAAACAACCGTCGGAGGCCAGTTGACCTGTTAGATGGCTAGTCCTGTATAATTTGACTCTGTATGTTTCAATGTATGTTACTGCAATGCTTCACCTGCTGTACAGTGTTTGTGAGATGCTCTTTGAAGATGGTACTTTTATATTTTTTCATTTTCAATAAAAGTACATTCCTTCCCACTTCCTGGTATTTAATACTGTTGCTGAATGTGCCTTGTGTGAGTGTGTGCTCCGGCGTTGCAGGACCTCAGCTGGAGGTGGCACTCGGTGGTTCTTGGGGGCTGGCCGCCTTCCCTCTGCAGGTGGTGTTAGACATATACTGCCTGAGGTAACATGTTTTCATTTTTGGGAGGGAGTTGGGAGTGGGGTGGGCCCATGGGAGGGTCTCTGGAGTTTTGATAGCCTGCTTTGTTTGCTCTCTTCTGTACTATTAAACTGCTGATGTTTATTTTCAGGAATGTTTTGCAAATGCACTTCTCACTCTTCCCCAGTACAACTGTAGGTACACTGTTCCTTTTTATCAAATAAGCACGTTTGAAATGATCCAAAAAAAGGTCTTAATTTCATGTAAAGAAATGTATCCATGTGTGGAGATACTGGAATAAGGTCAAAGTTGTACTTTTGAATGACCATGTGTTTAGAGTTAACTTCAGCTCATTGATAGGTTTATGTTACATTAGAAAGAGTAATGGTTTTGATGGTGTCCTGTAAGGAAGAAAGTTTTCAATTAGACCTAGCTCCTGCAGAATGCCCTGAGGAAATTACTGCAGGCAGCTTGTAATAACTGGGTCCTCCAAAGTTTTGTTTTGCTTGCACACTGGTCCCTGAGTGGAGCTGCCTACTCTTTCTAACTTAACATAAAACTATGGCATTGTGTGTGAGTGCCGTGGAGATGTTGACATTGGTGTGTATCTCTCCCTGTAGGCCTTCATGGTGAAACACCTCTTGGAGTATACCCAGGCAACAGAGTCTAACCTGCAGTACAGCTTGTTGTTAGTCCTGGGCCTCCTTCTGACAGAAATCGTGCGGTCTTGGTCGCTTGCACTGACTTGGGCATTGAATTACCGAACCGGTGTCCGCTTGCGGGGGGCCATCCTAACCATGGCATTTAAGAAGATCCTTAAGTTGAAGAACATTAAAGAGAAATCCCTGGGTGAGGTGAGTGAGGGGTGTTTGCTTGACAGCAGAGGGCAACTTCCTAGCTTGAGGTTTGTTCCTCTAGGGCCCTGCATCCTGAGATGAATGAACCATGTCCTTGCAGGGCTCCCTCACTACTCTTTGTATCTTACAGCTCATCAACATTTGCTCCAATGATGGGCAGAGGATGTTTGAGGCAGCAGCCGTTGGCAGCCTGCTGGCTGGAGGACCCGTTGTTGCCATCTTAGGCATGATTTATAATGTAATTATTCTGGGACCAACAGGCTTCCTGGGATCAGCTGTTTTTATCCTCTTTTACCCAGCAATGGTGAGTAAGCCTCCCAGCTGAATCTTGGCAGTTTCTCCTTAGGAAATGAGTTACTTCCATTGGGTTATAGTAGGCATTGCTGAGGTGTCACATCTCTGATTGGAAATTTCCTCAAAGCAGATTAAATCTAGAGCTAGATAGCACTTGCTCCGTTGGGACAGAATTTTGACTTGAGAGGAGGTAAGGTGTCACTTGCATGAAAAAGAGTCTGAATGAGAAGGCCAGCCAGTGAGCCCTGTCTCACTTGACGTAGGAGTGTTTGAGTCACTGCGCTGGAGTTGGTGCTAAGTGATAGGGCCCTCCTGCCTCCCCTTTGGAAACACACAGTGTCTGTGGTCACTATTGAGAATAGATACTTACTTGTCTTCATTGCCTTACAAAGAGATAAGAATTCAGTAATGTTTTATTACAGTTCAATAGGTCGCTTTTATTAAAGACAGTACAGCTACATAACATCCTAGGAAACAGGATTATATGCTCATTTTATTAAGAATGACCTTCAGCAGATTAGGTAGTTCTCAAGTTTGAATGAGCTTTAATTTGGTGTGGCATCGCTTTTCCTTTCAGATGTTTGCATCACGGCTCACAGCATATTTCAGGAGAAAATGCGTGGCTGCCACGGATGAACGTGTCCAGAAGATGAATGAAGTTCTTACCTACATTAAATTTATTAAAATGTATGCCTGGGTCAAAGCATTTTCTCAGAGTGTTCAAAGTGAGTTTAAAGATTTCGTATGTGCATGTGATAGAAGGACTTTGGATTCTTTGGGTCTTATTCACACACTTGGCTTTCTGAACACATTACATACTAGGACTAGTGTCTAGTATATCGTAGGACATAATATCATAGAATCTTTGTGTTCAAAAGGGATCTTAGAGGTTTGAACCCATAACCTCATCTCACTGATGAGGAAATTGAGACCTGGGAAAATGGATTTTTCCCGGTTAATACACAGCTAGTTAGGAATAATTCAGTTTCAAAGTCCCCTGTGTATATTCTCATCCTGCCCATGATTTCCCAGCCTGGTCATGAGGCTTTGAGGTAAGCTGGGAGTCAGGATGGCTGGATGCTGGTCCTAGCTCTGTCAAATATGTAAGTGCCAATAAAGCTAGGAGAAATAGCACAGATGGGGCATTCAGAAAGATCTCCACACGAGTTGAACCAGTGTGCCTTAAAACAGATGAAATTGAAGCAGGAGATACTTAAAACCAAATGCATAGATACTTAATTTAAATAAAAGAGATGAGGCTATTGGTGGACCATAACCTCATTAGGAGCTGAGTCCAATGCTGTAAAACAGTCAATACATTATAGGTGGAGTAGAAATACAGTGTTCAGGTCGGGCGCCAGTGGCGCACACCTGTAATCCCAGCACTTTGGGAGGCTGAGGGAGGAGGATCACCTGAGGTCAGGAGTTAAAGACCAGCCCGGTCAATATGGTGAAACCCCATCTGTACTAAAAATACAAAAATTAGCTGGGTGTGGTGGCATGTTCCTGTAATTCCAGCTACTTGGGAGACAGAGACAGGAGAATGAATCGCTTGAACCCAGGAGGCAGAGGTTGCAGTGAGCTGAGATCACGCCATTGCACTCCAGCCTGGGTGTTGCAGTGAGACTCTGTCTCAAAAAAAAAAAAAAAAGAAAAAGAAAAAATGTTCAGAGCAAGGCAGCTGTTTTCCTTTCATTGAGTAACCTTCAGGAACATGATGTCCAGTTCTGGAATCTGCATTTGATTTATGAGGGCTGTTAAGCTAAGAAGCATCCAGAGGAGGTGACCACTCAAGAGGTGCCCCCCGGTGGATGGGGCTGCCTTGTTAAACAGTGAGTTTGTTTCTACTGGAGTGGAACAAATGGTTTCTGAATGGACAGCTGCCAGCAGGTTGATGGCAGGATGGCTGCCAGTGGTCCTTCTGGCTCTCTGATTCTATAGTTTTATGGTCTTTTTTCTGAGATTCCCCTCATCCATCAGCCCCTGACTGGTATCTTTACCTGTAGGTATTAATTTGAAAAGAGTGTTCTTACTCATTATAAACATGGCCAAGGTGTATAATAAATGTTAAAGTAAGGAGTTCAGTGTTTTTATGTGACTTACAAACTAGCTGTGAAGATAGTTCCCCAATGCCTTAGGCAGTGGTAACACCTTTAAGGTCAGTGCATAGCCTCTTAGAAGAATTAAGTATTTGCCAGGTGCGGTGTTGCATGCCTGTAATCCCAGCACTTTGAGGGGCTGAGGCGGGTGGATCACCTGAGGTCAGGAGTTCAAGAGCAGCCTGGCCAACATGGCAAAACCCCTTCTCTACTGAAAATACAAAAATTAGCCAGGCGTGATGGCACAGCCTGTAATCCCAGCTACCCAAGAGGCCAAGGCAGGAGGATCAGTTGAACCCGGGAGGCAGAGGTTGCAGTGAGCTGAGATCACACCACTGCACTCAAACCTGGGCAACAGAGTGAGACTCCATCTTAAAAAAAAAAAACAAAACTATTGTCCGGGTGAGGTGGCTTATGCCTTTAGTCTTGACGCTTTGGAAGGAGAGACAGGATCACTAGAGCCCAGGAGTTCGAGACCAGCCCGGGCAACGTAGTGAGACCTCATCTCTACAAAAAATAAAACTTAACTGGGCATGGTAGTGCACATCTGTGGTCCCAGCTACTTGGGAAGCTAAGGTGGGAGGATTACTTGAGCCATGGAGGTTGAAGTTTCAGTGAGCCATGATTGTGCCACTGCACTCCAGCCTGAGCAACAGAGTGAGACCTCGTCTGAAAAAAAAAAAGTATCTTATTGTTCTGCTTCCTGCTCCATGGTCTTCAGTACTGTATGGTTGCTTTGCTAATAAGGGGGTTGATTTTGCAAATATTTAAGAAAAATCATTCTGCCTATAGAAATTATATTTCACCTATCTTCCAGTTGTCGTTACTGCATTTTTGTATGGAAGCTTCTATGCCACTGCCAACATACAGCAGGCACTCTACGAAATCTTAGTTACCTCCCCACCGCCTTTCTTTTTTTTTTTTCCTTTTGAGACAAAGTCTGGCTTTGTCACCCAGACTGGAATACAGTGGTGCAATCTTGGCACACGGCAACCTCCACCTCCCGGGTTCAAGCGATTCTCTGGCCTCAGCCTCCCAAGTAGCTGGGATCACAGGCGTGTACTAACACACCCAGCTAATTTTTGTATTTTTAGCGGGATGGGGTTTCGCCATGTTGGCCAGGACGGTCTCGAACTCCTGACCTCAGGTGATTCCCCCTGCTTTGGCCTCCCAAAGTGCTGGGATTATATAGGCGTGAGCCACCACGCCCGACCTCTTAGTCCCTTTTTAATTCTCCAGTGTCATTGTGTTGTCTTTCGTATTAATTCCTTAGGCAAAAATTAAACAACAACCTGGTAAGCAAACGCATTTGCCAATTACAGATACAATTAATGTGTTCATTCTTTCTAAACCTAAGAAACTGACAAGAAAAATCAGAAAAAGGTATCATAGAAGATGATCATTGTGTTCATGTATAGTGATTGCTTTCTGTTAGATTCATTCCTGTCACTTGATCCATTTCAAACCTCAGCCTTTTATACCAGCTGTAGTGGTAAAGTTGATAGTCATAAGTATTGAAGAGTGGCTGGAGACCTACGGAGTCTTATTTGGAGGTGGAGGAACAACATCCCTAGGCTGCTTTTAACTTGCTTTGAAATTGGCTTGCTTTTTCATAGAAATCCGTGAGGAGGAGCGTCGGATACTGGAAAAAGCCGGGTACTTCCAGAGCATCACTGTGGGTGTGGCTCCCATTGTGGTGGTGATCGCCAGCGTAGTGACCTTCTCTGTTCATATGACCTTGGGCTTCGATCTGACAGCAGCACAGGTCAGGCAACCCTCAGGGATGGGGAACATTTTAGAAATACCACATTAGCCGGAGGCTGAGGCAGGCAAATCGCTTGAACCCAGCAAGCAGAGGTTATGGTGAACCGAGATCGCGCGACTGCACTCCAGCATGGATGACAGAGCGAGACTCCATCTCAAAAAAAAAAAAAAAATACCGCCTATGGAGATGATGCTCTGATCTTCTTCTTACTGGACCTGGAGGTTTCCCCAAGAATTAGTAGATATTTTTTCATTCATGGGATTAAGCTGAGAAGCAGAAGAGTGGGGAGCCAGCCCTTATGCACAAATAGTGTATGAGTTGTTTTTAGTCAACCTAAATTTGAGTTTAATTCTGAAATTACAGATCATCCTGTGGTTCATATTTACTGGCAATTTCAATTGAAGGTCTCAAAAACTCTACTTAAAAAAAAAATGTGGCCGGGCATGGTGGCTCACACCTGTAATCCCAGCACTTTGGGAGGCCAAGGCAGGCGGGTCACTTGAGGTCAGGAGTTTGAGACCAGCCTGGCAAACATGGTGAAACCCCATCTCTACTAAAAATGCGAAAAATTAGCCAGGCATGGTGGTGAGCACCTGTAGTCCCAGCTACTCGGGAGGCTGAGGCAGGAGAATTGCTTGAACCTGGGAGGTGGAAGTTGCAGTGAGCCGAGATTGTGTCACTGCACTCTAGCCTGGCCAGCAGAGTGAGACCTTGTCTTTCAAAAAAAAAAAAAAAAAAAAAAGGTAATTGACTTGTAATAACATCTGACAGTCAAGCTGCAGCCTTCCTAGCACCTGAGAGGAAAATGATGGTGTCAGGTTACTTTAGTTGCATAGCATAATTAGGCACAGTTTCTTCTCTTCTCCTATTTTCAGGCTTTCACGGTGGTGACAGTCTTCAATTCCATGACTTTTGCTTTGAAAGTAACACCATTTTCAGTAAAGTCCCTCTCAGAAGCCTCGGTGGCTGTTGACAGATTTAAGGTAAGTGGCTCCTTTCCCTGCCCCAGTGTCAGGAGCCCTCCCCACACAACTAACTGCTGGCTCTGTTCAAGGGGCCGCACAGGCTGGCCTCACTGGATTTAAGCTTGGCTTTGGCCTTTTGGCAAATCGGTAAGAAAAATGGGGCAGTGGAGGAGACTGAATTGAGGGACGAGACTTACCACCTTTTTAAATTAATGTGAATTTTTACCTTTTGTGGATGGCCATGATCTGAGCTCCCAGGATTGCAGTTCCCCTTTAGAGCTAGCCCCTTCCACCTGGTCCTGACATGGATGTGTCGCAACTCACTGGGCCTTGAGGTGGCTTAAACCTAGAAGACCAGCACTGTGGGGCATCTTCCCCTTGATCTTTGTTACTGTCACTTTGATTGGTTGACACGCTGAATCCTTTTTGATACTTTCTTTTTCCTGCCCTGTGGTTGCTACTCACGATGCAGGGAAAGCAGTGACATGGAAATAGTTGTAAAACTAGATCATGTTGAGAAGTGCAGTTAAGTAAGTATCAGCTTCTTTTTTTGCAGGTGGTTAGTTGATCATACCTTGGCTGTGTTCGTTGTTCCTTCAGGATAATACACATACATGATATGAAAGGGAGTATATTTGGGAGGGTGGAGAGAAATAGATATTTGACAGTGGTTAATACTAAACAAAAAAAAGGGGACGCCATGTGGGCTGGAATTCTTTGACATTGTCACTGCATAGATTAGCTTCTATGTCTCTGCTTGTCTTTATTGGCTGGTGAGAGGAATACGAAAGCAATTTTGGTGATGTGAAGGCTTGAAGCTCACACATTTGAGGAATGGATATAATCATCTTGGAGGTTCAGAAGAAAACAAATTGGATTTTCTTCTTAAAAAATGTGGAAACTCAGTTCCTGGGATTTGTTTATATTCTACTTGTTTACAGTTGACCAGGTGACTTTTATTTGGTCAAGAAAGCCAGTCCTGGCCAGGCATGGTGGCTCGCGCCTGTAATCCTAGCTCTTTGGGAGGCTGAGGCAGGTGGATCACTTGAGCCCAGGAGTTCAAGACCAGCCTGGGCAACACAGCAAGACCCCGTCTCTACAAAAAAATTAAAAAATAGCCAGGCGCAGTGGCATGCACCCATAGTCCTAGCTACTCGGGAGGCTGAGGTGGGAAGATTGCTTGAGCCCAGGAGGTTGAGGCTGCAGTGAGCTGTGATCATGGCACTGCACTCCGGCCTGGGCCAACAGAGTGAAACTCTTACCTTTTTTTTTAAAAAAAAAAAAGAAGAAAGAAAAAGGAAGGAAGGGAGGGAGGGGAGAGAGAGAAGGAAGGAAGGAGAGGGAGAGCGAGGGGGAGGGGGAGGGGAAGAAAGCTAGTCTTCGAATGTGCCCCTCCCCGACCCCAGCGTGGCCACTTAGAAAACCAAGAGCCAGAGTCATATGAAAAAAAATGGCCTAATGGGACTCTGAGCTTTATTTTGCTGAATCCGCAATAACCAGTCGTGGATGAAAGGCAAATGTTTGACCATAAGTTCTCCCTGCTGTTCATTTCTATATTCTTGTTAGTGAATGGATTTGGTAGCACTTTGAATAAAGTAAGGGCCTATAGTGTAGATTAGTCCTCCCCTTGTTTTTCGAGGACTCTCATCTCCTGCTTAGTGGTGAGGACTTGGATTAGCAGGTGGCTTTCACATCATAGGTCCCTCCTCTCTCCAGGAAGCTTCAGAGTTAATAATAGAAGCAGCACCACCCACAGCTCTATTTGATGCCCCATGAGACTTCAGACCCCTGCTATTTTATTCCTCTTGGCGATCTCAGTCTCTTTTTTTTCTTCTTCTTATTTTTTTAATTAGATGCTTGGCACAAGATAGCAAGTATTTATGGCCAGGCTTGGTGGCTAACACCTATAATCCCAGCACTTTGGGAGGCTGAGGTGGGTGGATCACTTGAGGTCAGGAGTTCAAGACCAGCGTGGCCAACACGATAAAACCCCATCTCTACTAAAAATCCGAAAAATTAGCCAGGCGTGGTGGCGTGCGCCTGTAGTCCCAGCTGCTCAGTAGGCTGAGGCAGGAGAATCACTTGAACCTGGGAGGTGGGGGTTGCCATGAGCCGAGATCGCGCCACTGCACTCCAGCCTGGGCAACACAGAGAGACTCTGTCTCAGAAAAAAAAAAAAAAAAGAAGATAACAAGTATTTATTACTTAATTCCTCCCCAACTCTAAGCCAGTTCTTTCTTCTTCTTATCTTCAGATGTTTATTAATTAGAATTACGTTGACTTTATGAGGGTTGGAGGGCTGTTTTTTAGGTGTAAGGCAACTGTTTATTATGTTTCTGAGTACATTAAAGGAAGTCTGCCACAAATGGGGGCCCATCTAAGGCAGCCTTTTGAAAACAACAAAACTGTTCCTGGGATTGTATCTCCCCAAAAGCATCTGCCCTCCCATCATTTTTAGAAGATGGAATATAGAATAACAAGGATGGGACTTGCTGCTTTGATTCATTTTATAGACCTTGAAACTCATTAATGATGTTACAGAGCCCTGCTTTTCACCCTGTGTCTTGTTTTACATCATTTTCTTTCTTTCTTTTTAAAATTGGAGTTGGAGATCTGATAGATTGGCAAGTATAGTGTTTTCTCTATTTCACCTACCCTGCAAGTGCATCTTGCAGGAGAACTTGTTGCTTCCTGTTGGGTAGTACGCATAAAGAATAGGAAAAGAGATATAAAATTTATTTATGTAACCTGTAATTTATAGATTTGATGACCTGTAGAAAGGCAGTGCGAACTGCACTGATTGTCACCAGTGGAATAGGGTGGCTTGTTCTAGCAAATACAGACACAGGATGCCCAGTGAAATACTGCATGGAATATACTTATACTGAAAAATTATTAGTGTTTTTCTGGAATCTAAATTTGACTGGGGCCAGGCAAGGTGGCTCATGCCTGTAATCCTAGCACTTTGGGAGGCTGAGTGGGTGGATCACTTGAGGCCAGGAGTTCGAGACCAGCCTGGCCAACTTGGTGAAACCCCATCTCTACTAAAAATACAAAAATTAGCTGGGCGTGGTGGTGGGTACCTGTAATCCCAGCTACTCAGGAGGGCTGAGACAGGAGAATGGCATGAATCTGGGAGGCAGAGGTTGTAGTGAGCCGAGATTGCACCCCTGCACTCCAGCCTGGGTGACAGAGTGAGACCCTGTCTCAAAAAAATAATTAATTAATTAATTTAATTGGGCATCTTATATTTATCTGGCAACCCTGTGAGTAGTCCCCTCTTCTGCTCTCAACAGATTCATTCTGATTTGATTCTTCTAGTGAATAAATAGTGTTTTCATGGTCAGTGTCCTATGATAAAGTTGAGGCTTATGGTTTATAGGTTTATATGGTTATAGGTTTACGTTATATCTAAGATTCTGTTGTTCTGACAGGTGCAAATTCAAGTAGATACAAGTTCAAGTATGGGGAGGCCCTTGTCTGCCTCTTAGCACATCAGGACAGAGTGACCTGAAGCCAAAACTCTCCTGATAGGAGGGGGAGGGTAAGGCTGCAGGGAGTAGGAAGGAAACATGGGGCTGGAGCTGTGAAAACCAGTAGGTACTGGCATGTTTCTTAATAGTTCATTGAAGCCTAAAAGACCTTTGTCCTTTGAATAACTGTTTAGGGGAGAGAAATGATGGAAATTCTGTTGTCATGTGGTTTTACTCTGTGAAGGTGATCAAAATGTTTGGCATGTTACTCTTAGCTCAGTCTCTCAGGAAGGCTTTGAACAAATGAAACCAGCAGCCGTTTCAGCAAGCAGGGGCTACACCTAAGGTTATTCAAGAGTGAAGATTATCTCAGAAGTTTAGAATCATGACACTGTGGGGAAGACAGGGTCAAGGATGAATGGGAGATGGGGGCTTAAGGGAGAGCTTAGAAGTTTAGAATCCAAGAGAGAAAGGGTTTGTTCTTGGGGAGAGGGATTATGTATGATATTTTATAGCACTTGCAAAATTTAAGATAGCTGCGGGGTTCTCAGTAATTAAGCAGAGTCCTGACCCTAAAAGCTATCTTTTCTCTAAAGATTTTGTAATGTTTAAAATTTTTTAAAATTAAGATAAATATGTTTTAAATCATACTGTGAATCCAACTGGTATAGCAATCTGTAGAGAAGATCACTGGCTTAAGAGAATTGTTAGAAGTGAATTCGAAGTCTTATGGGAACATCCTGGGCTGCGATATATTATAATCAGTGTTTTACATCTTAATTTCAGAAACATTTCCCTCTTCAAGAATTCATTCTTCAGCCGGGTGCAGTGGCTCACACCTGTAATCCCAGCACTTCGGGAGGCTGAGGCAGGCAGATCACTTGAGTCCAGGAGCTCAAGACCAGCCTGGCCAACATGGCGAAACCCCATCTCTACAAAAAAATACAAAAATTAGCCGGCATGGTGGCGCATGCCTGTAATTTCAGCTACGTGGGAGGCTGAGGCATGAGAATCTCTTGAACCTGGGAGGTGGAGGTTGCAGTGAGTCGAGATTGTGCCACTGCACTCCTGTCTGGGCAACAGAGCAAGACTCCGTCTCAAAAAAAAAAAAAAAAAATTGTTTCTTTTAATGTAACTCAGGGGTCTCTGGGAATGAGTGGGAGGAAAGTGTCTTGTTCTCTTCCCAAGGGATGTTTCTCAGGGAGATACCCTTCACTTCCGTGCAAGCCCGTTCATTTGGTTGTTAAACTCTCAAGTTCCAAGGCAAGGCTTTGAAGACATGAGAGTTTCTTGGCAAGAAGATGTTCTCTGTGGTAGATGAAACTTTTAGATACTGTTTTCTGACGGTAGCAATGTAAGCCTGTGACAGTCTGTACTCCTAGATACGTGCGGCGCTGTGAGTGTGGGAAGTGGGCAGGCTTTGGGATTCTGCAGGAGGGGTCTGGAAGGAAAACACATAGTGAGCATCTGTTCTGGAGATCAGCATGCCCTTTGCTTTTCCTACCTGCTTTTTACTACTCCTTAGAACAAGGGGCTACATGCCAGTCAGTTAAATGTCATTAGGTCCGCGTTAGGCTGGCTGAGGGGGAGAGGCAGTTTAGCATGTAATTTGTCATGTAGAATATTGGGTCATTGACAAGGCCCCTGGACCTCTTGAGGTTGCCCCACACTCCCGTGACCCCTTGATGGGCCTGAGACTGGCTGCACTAATGAGCTACCTTTTGCCCTTCAGCTTGCTTCCACTGTATAGCCTGATGTGTTTTGCTACGTGAGTGTGCGCCCTAGGCTTGTCTCCCTGGTCTTGATCCAGTGTCTCATCTTTGCACCTCTCTCACAACTCCTATCAGAGTTTGTTTCTAATGGAAGAGGTTCACATGATAAAGAACAAACCAGCCAGTCCTCACATCAAGATAGAGATGAAAAATGCCACCTTGGCATGGGACTCCTCCCACTCCAGTATCCAGAACTCGCCCAAGCTGACCCCCAAAATGAAAAAAGACAAGAGGGCTTCCAGGGGCAAGAAAGAGAAGGTGAGGCAGCTGCAGCGCACTGAGCATCAGGCGGTGCTGGCAGAGCAGAAAGGCCACCTCCTCCTGGACAGTGACGAGCGGCCCAGTCCTGAGGAGGAAGAAGGCAAGCACATCCACCTGGGCCACCTGCGCTTACAGAGGACGCTGCACAGCATCGACCTGGAGATCCAAGAGGTAAGCGGCCCGCCCCCTGCCTCCCCACCCGCACCCCGCAACCCCGTGCTGATCTGCCACCAATAGGCGGCTGCTGTTCTTTTCACAAAGTGCTTTGTGGCTAGGAGTGATTTTGAACTAAAGAGCAAATTAGACCAGCTCTAACTTGTAAAAAAAAAACCAATTAAGCATTTTGCAGCAGAATTGAATAACAACTGATCTTATGAGGTGATAGTTTTATAAGCAAGGAAATGAAACATTCAAGAGGATTTTCCAGGATTTTCCCCTAAAGAGGATTCAGTTTTAGTTGTATGTGAGCTGTGACAGCTATTTCTGATTGTTACCACTCTGTGAGGGTCCTTGTGCAGGAGGCTGTGCACCATACCTGGCGCGTCATAGGTAGTCTCAGGGCTACTGTGACAACAATCGTGTTGTAATTATTTATTCTTAATATAAGTTAAGGATCGTTACGGTAGATGATGTCACAGCCCAGGTAGCATAAGATTAGTCTCAGAGGGCCTCCTATAGGGAATGGTGGAACAGAGATGCCAGGTTCAAGGCTTTTAAAATATAGACTATGTATTTCGGAACCAGCACCATGTTCACAGGTCTGTGTCATTAGAGGGCCCCAGATGTGTATATATTCATTCATTCAACAGCCATTTTATGAGTATCAAATTCCATGCCAGATGCTGTGGTAGGGCTGGGCATAGAGCTACAAAAACCCAAACAGACAAAAATCCCGTCCTTCATGGAGTTTACATTCTAGCAGGCACAGACAGGTGGTGAGCAAATAAAATATATTACATATCAGATGGTGATAAGGGCTATGACAGAAGGGGACAGAGGCTGGGCATGGTGGCTCATGCCTGTAATCCCAGCACTTTGGGAGGTCAAGGTGGGCAGATCGCTTCAGCCCAGGAGTTCAAGACCAGCCTGGCCAACATGTTGAAACCCTGTCTCTACAAAAAATAGAAATATTAGCCGGCTGTACGCCTATAGTCCCAGCTACCTGGGAGGCTGAGGCAGGAGAATTGCTTGAGCCCAGGAGGCGTAGGTTACAGTGAGCTGAGATCGCGCCACTGCACTCCAGCCTGCGTGACAGAGTGAGAGACTCAGTGAGACTCAGAGTGAGTCTCAAAAAAAAAAAAAAAAAAAATGGTGGGCAGGGAGAGAGTGTGCTGGGGCAGGGAGCAGGTGTGGTTACGACTTGAATAGCTGCCTGAGGGAAGGCGTCATTTAAAAAGTAGTATTTGGGCAAAGATCAAAGGAGATGAGGGAGAGAGCTACCTGGGTATGGGGTGGGTGGGTAAGAACATTCCAGGCCAAAGGAACAGAAACACAGAGACCGCAAGTGGTGAGTGTGCCTGTTATTGGAGTGGAATGAGTGTGGGAGAGAGTAGTGGATGCCAGGGGCAGAGGTGGTGCCTGCCAGAGCCTCTGGTGAGACTTCGACTTTACTCCAAGTGGGAAGAGGAGCCTTTGGAGGATTCACAGCAGAATGACATGATCAGACTTATGTATGAAGAGGATCATTCTGGTTGCTGCAGGGGGAGACAAGGAAGCAAGGAGAACAGTCAAGGCTCTGTTACCACAGTAACCAGGAGAAAGATGAGGATGTCTTAGATCAAGGTTGCTGGTGGGAGGTGGTAAGAAATGTTTGTCCATGTAACTGGAAGTAGGGAGGAGGAGGTTTGAATGCAGTGTTTATCAAAATCAGCAACTGACCAGAGGCATGGTAAGCCGATCCAGAACTAGACTGAGAAGAGAACAAAAAGCTTCCAGCTTTCGAAAACTACGAGCAAGAAGGGAAGACAGTCTTTAGCGACACCACTTGAAACTATTAGTGTCATTGAAGGGCATGCAAGTCAGTTTTTTTACGTCAGTTAACTCTTTTTTTTTTTTGAGATGGAGTCTGCCTCTGTCGCCCAGGCTAGAGTGCAGTAGCATGATCTCGCCTCACTGCAACCTCTGCCTCCCGGGTTTAAGTGATTCTCCTGCCTCAGCCTCCCGAGTAGCTGGGATTGTAGGCATGTGCCACTGTGCCTGGTTAGTTTTTGTATTTTTAGTAGAGACAGGGTTTCACCGTGTTGGCCAGGCTTGTCTCGAACTCCTGACCTCAGGTAGTCCGCCTGCCTCAACCTTTCAAAGTGCAGGGATTACAGGCGTGAGCCACTGCACCTGGCCTTACTTCAATTAACGCCTAACAAGCTTTTTATTTAGTAACTATTAGCTTGATTATTGAGGCAGCTCTAATACATTGCTAATCAGCTCTATTAGAAAATGATTCCACACGTGCATTCTTTTACTTTGTACGTTGACCCTCATTCTGCCCTTCAGAGCCCACAGACACATGGGAGACCTTTAGCCATTTGAAGAGAAATCCCTTAATTCTCCCTGGGCCTTCTTTTTAGGGAAGGGAAGGGGAGGTGATGTTTGCCAAGTGTCTTCTGTGCACCAGGCATTTTTCTCATTTTTGGTGTCTCATTTAGTCTTCATTTAATCATCAGAATAGCATTTTTCTCACGTAAACCTAACTGGCCTGAGCAGAGGTTGAACCTGTAAGTTGACCTCCTTGTTGCCACCAGGCAGTAAACCATTCAGTACTCCTGGACCACGTCAAAAACTATTTGTTCAACTATCAGACACTGTACTTAGTTTTACAAGGATACTGCCTTTCCTCAAGGTGCTCAAAAGAACACAGTATTAGGTTAAGTCACGGGGCCTAGATCACACAGTTAGCAAGTGCTGGTGAAATTGGAATTCAGATAAAGACCCATCTGCCTCCAGAATCCATGCTCCGTCCATACCACCACTCTCCCTTCCTTCCTGGGGATGCTTGAACCAGCACAGGGCTGTAAACAAGTGACCCTTTTGAAGTCATCTGTCTGTCCCTTGAAAGCTTTCAACGCGACTTTGAGAACTCTGTGTCTTGCCTAAGGATACTCATTTAGTCATAGACTTGGTTTTCTACTTTTGTGTGGGATTGATGATATAAATAGTCCTCAGATTTTTGGAAATGTTTTGCAGAAAAATGGAAGCAACAGTGTCCATGGTTTTTATTGAAAATACACGATGTATACACCTTAGAGAAAAATCATAATAAAATGATTTTTTAAGAGTCCTGCCCTCTCTTCTGGAAAACAACAAAAACAAGTAAATAAAGAATATGGGTGGCCAGGTGCGGTGGCTCATGCCTGTAATCCCAGCACTTTGGGAGGCCAAGGCGGGCGGATCATTTGAGGCCAGGAGTTTGAGACCAGCCTGGCCCGGAATGCGAGAATGATGGTGGGATACTGGAGTGGGTGGCGTGTTTACTTTCCCCAAAGGGCTTCCGTTCCTGTTATCTCAGGTGTCTCCACAGAAACCCATGAGATAGGCAGCTAATGAGTGAGAAAACAGGTAAGTGGCCTGCTGAGTTATCAGGGTGACAGTTTTATATGCGTAGACTACAGTTAATGTGTTTTTTCCTCAAGTCCTTCGAGATGAGTGGTTAGTAGTATCTCAATGACCCTCCTCTCTGTGTACCTTGTCCAGGGGAAACTGGTTGGAATCTGCGGCAGTGTAGGAAGTGGAAAAACCTCTCTCATTTCAGCCATTTTAGGCCAGGTAAGATTTTTGTTATTGTCCTTTTCTGTTTCTTTGTCTGATTCGCAAGAGTCTCAGGAAAAAATGAACAAATTTCCTGAAGAGAGTCAGGAAAGGTGGAAACAAATGAACCCTCAGCCTGCATTGTATTCCCCCAATTCCCCCCAGTTCCACCCCTTCACAGCCTTCTGCCTGGAAGGAGGCTTGGTGGGCGCCTGATGGATGACTGACTGTTGCCTCAGCTGGAGCCATTTGGTTTCATGCCTTCTTTCATTCAGCGTGTATCTATTGAATGCCACAGGTACGCCTGTGTGTTGAAAATGGCAGAGATAAGAGATGAACAGACACCCTACACTGCAGTGCTGCCAACAGAGTTAACCTATAAAGAAGCAGGGCTGACAGCACTCCCAGCCTGTCTGTCAGACAGGACTGTCAGGGTTTGATCTAGAAGCAAAGCCCCTCTGTTTTCTGCCTAATCCCTGAAAGAGTCATGCCCTTGGGGAGTTCATGGTCCAGTGGGGAGCAAGGCCTTGAGGACACACAAGCACATCTCCAGGCAGGGAGTGAACAGCACGCAGGGCCCCAGCACACGGTGGCCAGTACTGAGAGTGAGGGACAGGATGGGGCTGGAGTCATGCCGCTGAGACCCACTATCATTGCTGTGTTTTAGAACCAAATAATCCAGACCAGAAAAAACAAACAAACAAAAAAACAAGGCGCCCACATGCTTTTAAACTAGAATTAAATTAACTTGACTTAGATGGTTGAGATGAGTGTAAACTTATGATTATCTCTACATCCTGATGGATATGCTTTTGTAGTCTCGTGCTTTCTTGTCTTGTTTGGCATCAGCTGTCACAGTTGGTGAGTTGTGGTCCTCCTTGAGGGTGGTGGTGCCTGGGGCCGTCTGAGTTCAGATCATGGCGGGCAGGGCCGCACCTTCTGCTTTATGACACTCTCCAGTGGTGGGGCCCAGCCTTTGGTCTTGTAAAAAGCACCAAACTTCCTAGGTGATTTCTGATGACCAACCAGATTTGGAGGGCCAGTGAGGAAAGACAGAGATGGGGGGAGGGGGAGCAGGAAAGAAAAGGTCAATTCGTAAGTGCTGCTCTGCCATCTACCAATGTGCTCCGTTTTCCAGGGTTGATTAGGCAGTGGTTAGGTTGAAAACCAAGTCAGGCTTTGCTTCTGGACAAATCCTGGCAGCCCTGTCTCTGGCAGGGAAACGGGTTGTGCTGGTCAGCCCTACTTTAACTGTAGTTTACCTCCATTGATAGTGCTGCAGTGTGGGGTGTTTGTGCAGCAGTCGGAAGTGCCAGCTTTCCACAGTAGACCCTCTGAGGGCTTCTGAACCCTTTGAAGTGCACATCAGAGTGCTACCAGTTTGTGGTGTACGTAGGTACACCTGTGTGTGTACACGCTGTGTGAGGGTGTTTGAGAAGACCAGCTTATATGAACAAGTACTGCACAGGCTGGTTAGTGAAACTTTGCTTCAAAGCTGTAGCATCCCTAAACCAAGACAAATGTCTACTATCAGTCTCAAACGAAAGAAATCATGGAAGAGGGTAAAATGGATAAGTCAGTTCATATCAACCATTGCAACTGAATACAAAATTCAAAGCACATGGCTCATCACTGCTTGTGGGCAGGGAGGGTCCATCATTGGTAAATGGACACTGTGTAAATATTATAAATACTAGGTGATGTCTAACCTGGACTTTTTTTTCCCCTTGGTCCTCATTTCATAGAAGCAACTGGTCTAGCCAGCATCCTAGATAATTGCCGTGGATGAGTTGGCCTACCCCCATGTTGAGGCAGGGATTAGCTGGAAACCCCTACAGCATCCTCTCCAGGAGAATTTTGCAAGAACCTCTTGCTTGTGCTTTTCCTAATTTAAACAGTTTGCACACAGCAAATGGCTGCAGAGGGAAGTGTTTGCTCCTTCAAGTTACGGGTTATGCTGGGCTCCCGTCACACATAAACAAGGAGAACTTTGATTTTTTTTGCTTCTGTAGCTCTCTTTGGAATAAAGGTGGGATCTGGATTTGGGTCCAAAAAGCATCCAGGGAAATTACCAGAGCTAGATTCCACTGTGGAAGGTGGGAGTTCTGTTGGCATGGGGTGATGGTTTTGAGTTATGATGTCATTGGATGATGTCGCTCTCCCTAGATGACACTTCTAGAGGGCAGCATTGCCATCAGTGGAACCTTCGCTTATGTGGCCCAGCAGGCCTGGATCCTCAACGCTACTCTGAGAGACAACATCCTGTTTGGGAAGGAATATGATGAAGAAAGGCAAGGAATGTTTGGCTTCTGTCATGCTTTCCATCTTGGCCATGTGAGATGCAAGACAGCCCTAGTCAGCAGGCTCTGCTCCCACCGTGTCCCTGACGCTGTCTTTTTGTGTCCTCCAGGTACAATTCTGTGCTGAACAGCTGCTGCCTGAGGCCTGACCTGGCCATTCTTCCCAGCAGCGACCTGACGGAGGTACAGGCCTTCTGCCCCGACCAGGCATTTAGCAGAGTGGCGGAGCTGGGCCAGAGCTGCTCCTGGGAGTGCATCTGAAGTACTTGGGAGAAGAGCCTCACAGGGGGTTAGGCTGTCATTAGGCCTTTGTGTTAGGAAAGCATCTGTTAGGGCAGGGATGTTAACACTGCTTGTTTTAAGGTTGTAAGCATTTTCCATGTCTTGGGGATTTTAAACAAAATCCCATTGTTGACTCAGAGTTGTTTTTTACTCTATCCAGATATTTTTAAAACTACAAGTAAGCGTGTGCATGTTGAGCTTCTTCCTTGAACTTGATTTTGTCAATCGCCTTAACTCAGATAGTTTGTAGAGAGCCCTTTTCTGTTAGAAAGAGCCCTTAGAACAAATCCACATTTCTTTGGGTCTCTGTCCTGCAGCAGTTTCCAGAGGCGTGTCTTTGGAACTAATTTGTGCTCTTCAGTGTTAAAACTTGTCTTCCATGAATTGCCCTGAAGGTCTCTGGGATTGGCACCTTTATTTAGCTGACTTCAGTTAAATCCCTCAAACCAGATTTGGTGAATGGTTTAATTACTTTAGAGATCCTTAAATCCATGTCCCCAGATCAGCAGCATCAGCATCAGCATCACGTGGGAACTTGTTAGAAACACAAATTCTTAGGCTGTTCTTCAGACCTACTGAATCAGAAACTCTAGGGGTGGAGCGCAAAGGTCTGTTTTAACAAACCCTGCAGGTAATTCTGATGCAACGTCCAGTTTGAAAACCTCTGAATTAATTGAATATTTGACAACTGATTCATTCATTTGATAATTTAGTAACATTTATTAGGTGCTTATTATGAGCCAGTGACATGTGCAGACACTGTTTGGCACTAAGAATTTAAAGGAATAAGACAATAATCTGCATGTAAAGAAGTGTACAGTTAAGAGGATGAGATACCCAAACAAACAGGCACAAAATAATCTGATGGAAAAGAGCCCCATCTCTTTGGGGTACTAGCGGGAAGGAAGTTAGGGGAGATTTCAGAGGAGATGATGCCAGAACTGAGCAGACAAAGTAGAGGCAAGCACATGACATTGTCGTGTTCATAATATACACATAATTTCAAATGGCTTAGGTCCCAGGATGTGGAAGGGGGATTGTGCACTGGAGGCTGAGAATTGCTGGGGAACTGGGTGGCAAAGGGTCTGGTTTGTATGCCATGTTTGAATAGTCGGGGTTTATCCTTTGGGGCTCTTGAAGAATTTTAAGCAGGGGTGGGAGATGGTCAGCTTTGTATTCTGGAAAGCTCTTCCTGCCATGTGGAGAATGGATTGGAGGGGGGGCATCCGGGTGGAGTGGCAAGACCAGATGTAAGATTTATTGGTACCCAGATGGCAGTGGTAGAGGAACAGGCATCTGGGCCAACTCCCCGCTTCCTGGAAGGATCAGCGTGGCAGTTCATCTGCGGGGAATTGAGAGAAGGAGCTGGTCTGGGTGGGAAAGAAGAGAAGTGACTGGGTGACCCGTACGCGCTGTTCTGGACTGACTTGCGCTGGAGGCTTCACCACACTTCTGGGCTCTTGTAGATTGGAGAGCGAGGAGCCAACCTGAGCGGTGGGCAGCGCCAGAGGATCAGCCTTGCCCGGGCCTTGTATAGTGACAGGAGCATCTACATCCTGGACGACCCCCTCAGTGCCTTAGATGCCCATGTGGGCAACCACATCTTCAATAGTGCTATCCGGAAACATCTCAAGTCCAAGACGGTTCTGTTTGTTACCCACCAGTTACAGGTATGGTGCTTTCTTCCCTCGGCTGCCTACCTGACTTTGGGAAATCAGAAACAGGGAAGTAGGTTTGCTCCAGGTATCCTTATGTTATAATGAGAAATTCCTGGAATCAAGGTTTCATTTTCTTGGCAAATTAGCCGCCTGTACCAATAAAGCTCACTGTACCAGTGTAACAGATGGCCATCTAAATCAGAGATCCTTGGAGCATATCAGCTTCTGCATATAGATCAGCAAGCAAAAGGGCTGAGAGGAGCGGGCCAAAAATGGAGTTTGGGTATAAGATAGTTTGGAAAGCATTGTGTTAATATCTCTGTGCAAGTGGGAACTGTTTTGGGAAAACAAGCTTTTCTCCCTCTGTCATTCCATGATAAGTAGCCACTTTGGAGAGCAGCTCAAAGATGTTGCCATCTGGTTCACATATGTTGTCACGTTTGGGGGGCAAACCCTCCATTCTGCCAAAGAAAGTCATAATTTTGTGTATTTGTGAGTGCAGTGAAAGGGTGTAAATTTAATGCAGGGCTCATGTGGCTCCATCAGCAGATTCATGTGAAAAACTGGAGGAACTCGGCCAGGCGTGGTGGCTCACGCCTGTAATTCCTGCACTTTGGAAGGCCAAGGCTGGCGGATCACCTGAGGTCAGGAGTTCAAGACCAACTGGTGAAACCCCATCTCTACTAAAAATACAAAAATTATCCCAGCGTGGTGGCACATGCCTGCAATCCCAGCTACTCAGGAGGCCGAGGCAGGAGAATCCCTTGAACCCAGGAGGTGGAGGTTACAGTGAGCTGAGATTGTACCATTGTACTCCAGCCTGGGCAACAAGAGTGAGACTCCATCTCAAAAAAAAAAAAAGAAAAAGAAAAACTGGAGAAACTGCTCCTTATACTATGTCACGAGGCACAATACACTAAAGTGGGGTTCTCAGTGTTGGCACCACTGACATTTTGGACCAGATAGTCCATTGTTGTGCGGGGCTGCTTTGTGCACCCCTGGCCTCTAGCCGCTAGATACCAGTACAGACGGTCGCTGGCTTATAGTTCAACTTACAGTTTTTTGACTTTATGATGGTTCCCATATAACCATTCTGTTTTTCACTTTCAGCGTAGTATTGAAAAAAATTACATGAGATATTGAACACTTTATTATAAAATAGGCTTTGTGTTAGATGATTTTGCCCAACTCTAAGCTAATGTAAGAGTTCTGAGCATGTTTAAGGTAGGCTAGGCTAAGCTCTGATATTTTCAGTTTACGTTGGGTTTATCAGGATGTAAGCCTGTCGTAAACTGAGGAGCATCTGTGTACCTCTCCCCCCAGTTGTGACAACCAAAAATGTCTCCAGCTGGGCACGGTGGCTCAGACCTGTAATCCCAGCACTTTGGGAGGCCGAGATGGGTGGATTACCTGCATGGCAAAACGCCGTCTCTACTAAAAATATAAAAACTTAGGCAGGCATGGTGGTGCGTGCCGAGGCAGGAGAATCGCTTGAACCCAGGAGGCAGGGGTTGCAGTGAATGGAGATTGCGTCACTGCGCTCCAGCCTGAGGTACAGAGCAAGACTCTGTCTCCAAAAAAAAACGTCTTAAGATACTGCCAAATGTCTTTTGGGAGGTTAACTCGCCTCCTGTAGAGAACTACTGAACTAAGGTATGGACGTTTGAATGTATTTGCACAAATAGCGTATTGTATTGTCTCTGCCTTTGCCTTCAGTACCTGGTTGATTGTGACGAAGTGATCTTCATGAAAGAGGGTTGTATTACGGAAAGAGGCACCCATGAGGAACTGATGAATTTAAATGGTGACTATGCTACCATTTTTAATAACCTGTTGCTGGGAGATACACCACCAGTTGAGGTAAGATCTGATGGTGTTTGCGTGTGTCCCGTTCTCTCGCTGCAAGGGAAACACAGCCGGAGTGAATGATGGAGAGATCTCAGCTGAATCCAGTGTCTGTGTCTTATTGGCAGGGGCTCTGTTTTCTGGTGAACAGATTGCTGTGCCTTAGTTCGCATACTGATTCTGCTCTAGGAGAGCAGGATTGTAGGGCTGGTGAGTTGAGGTCTTCTGTCACTAAGAACTTATTAATATGACAATGGCAGGGAGAAGGATATGGGCTCAGTGAGGGCAGAGAAGATGTGTGCTGCTGTTCAGTCACAGTTTCATAAGCTCCATCCCCCTGATTGAAGCATTATGAAGCTCTTTTTAAATAAACAAGTGAATAAAGTGCCAAGGTAGGGAAATTAAATATTGCGTACATTTAAAAGCACTCAGATTGGGCACTGTGACTCTTGCCTATAATCCCAGCATTTTTGGAGGCTGAGGTGGACAGATTGCTTGAGCCCACGAATTTGACACCAGCTTGAGCAATGCACATGAAGAAACCCTGTCTTTACAAAAAAAAAAAAAAATACAAAAATTAGCTGGGCATAATGGCGGGCACCTGTAATCCCAGCTACTTGGGAGGGTGAGGCAGGAGAATCACTTGAACCCAGGAGGCGGAGGTTACAGTGAGCTGAGACTGCTCAGAGAGCGATCCCATCTCAAGAAAAAAAAAAAAACAAAAAAAGACATAAGAGAAACTTGGAAAGGGGAGTACTAAGTAGTTTCTGTTGTCTCAGGTAGAACTTGAGGCTGTTTATTGAGTTCCTATGTGCCCTGTTACAGGCAGTTCTCAGGGGTAGGGCCTGTGTAGGTTGTCACCATGTGAGAGACATCATCTCTGTCCTTGAGGGACTCACAGCGTTCTAGGGAAGACCAATGTGTTTATGCTCTTACAAGCACTTACAGATGTGGCTTAGAACACCATATCACATGTATAGCACTAATGGAGTGCTAAGGGCAAATGGGAGGGTGAGCTTTCCCGGGAGTGTTGCCTCATGAAGAACGGAAGACTTGAATCTCTCTGAATGGGGACAACTGTGACTGTGATTGGGAGAAGGGGAGGGGCATTCCAAGTGGAGGAACAAGTGTGGACAAAGGTAGAGAAATGGGAAATTGCAATGTGGTGTAAAGAATGGTGTGAAGTCCAGTGTGGCTTGAGAGTAGGGGCCGTGGACACCAGTGAGATGGGAGAGGAGCTTGCAGGATTAGGGTAGGGCCGGAATGTGGAGGTCCTACAGAACCAGGCGGAAAAGCTTATGTTTATCGTGTGGTAGCGGTGGGAAATGATCAGATCTATAGATTTGATTTAGTGATGTGGGGACTCAGACATAGTAGGAATAGAAATGACCCCACCTCTAAGACCCCGCCCTTAATACTTTGAACAACTTGGAATGGACAAGAACAGAATATAAAAGTTACTGTGTTTGGAGTTTAGTGGCTGGGGAGAGCAAATGTCAGTGGACTAAATTTTAAATCTTAAAAATTTAAGGAGATGAGGAAGTACAAGAAATGAGTATAGGTGACCCTTTTAAAAAGTTGGATGTATCTTTCTTCAGTAATAGCAGCTTGATTAATGATTTCCTAATGTGTATCCTGTGGACATTCATCTGGATGGCTAACGTGACTGGAGACTTTTTTTTTTTTTTAATATTATTAGATCAACTCAAAAAAGGAAACCAGTGGTTCACAGAAGAAGTCACAAGACAAGGGTCCTAAAACAGGATCAGTAAAGAAGGAGAAAGCAGTAAAGCCAGAGGAAGGTAATGGCTTTTTTGAAATTTTTAGATTTGTCATCAAAGTTTATCAGAAATTACTTGTGTGGTAAGTAATCCATGATGTTTAATAGCAGTATGTGTACAATAGAAATACCTGGTCTTACATTTCTGGAAAACAAAGTTCTTATGTAATACTGGGAGACCACGAGGCACCTTCTGTTTGCTTAAACAGACCAGGGCAGTAAGAGTCACCTTTGGACCCATGCCTTCTCCTCCTGTGCAGGATGGGGTCAGGTTTAGGTAATTAGAACTGAGTCATCCTGAGTAAGGAAAAATCGAATGGTGGGTACAGGTTCACCCTTCCATCCGGTGATTCATCTCTGCTCATGGAAAGTCCCAACCAGAGCAGAGGTGTTCTGGCTCTAAGAATACCCGTGTCCTCAGAAGTGCCCGTGTTAGGACAGTAGACTCATCACCTTGTCCTGACAATATAGCACCAGGATTATGAGTAAGAGTGACAGAGAGGGGTTTTTCCTACTTGGCGTTTCCTGTCCAGAGCCCTTGATCCTGTTTCTTAAGCCCTTTATGTTATCAACAGTAACAAATCTTGAGAGTTAAGGGAAGCTATTTGCAATAATGTGGGCATTTTCACCTTTGAATTTTAAGTTGCATGTCAATTTAAATACACACACACTATATATGTGTGTGTGTGTGTGTGTGTTTACTGTAGAGATGTAGATATGTGTGGTCTTGTTTTAATCTCTCTGTTACTTCACCTCTTCACGTCACTGTTTTGAATCCAGGGACTTTCTTGGGTTTGCCATTGCTTTGGAGACAGGGCCTATTGCCACTTCCTTATCCTTAAAACTGCAGGAGGTCAGGCATAGGTGGCTTACACCTGTAGTCCCAGTACTTTGGGAGGCTGAGGTGGGAAGATTGCTTGGGCCCAGGAGTTCAGGACCAGCCTGGACAGCATGGCGAGCCCCACTTCTCTACAAAAAATGTAAAAATTAGCCAAGCGTAGTGGTGCATACCTGTAGTCCCACCTACTTGGGAGGCCAAGATGAGCCACTGCACTCCAGCGTGGGGGCCAGGTGAGATCCTGACAAAAAAAAAAAAAAGGAAACTGCAGGAGATATTTGGTATCGGGAGTTGATCATTCTGACTTACTGCCTCTTTTATTTCTTTTTTTAAAAGGTATGGGATTTTGAATTCAGATGTGGTTTATGATACCTTATTGACACACCCCAAAAAACAAACAGCACAGAAGGCTGAGACATTTGTTAGTTTTTACCATAGGCAGTAAAAATCAGAATATCATTAGCAAACATTTGTTCTTCTCTACATAGTCACTAACCTGGCTACTCACAACTCTTAAAGTGCTCGAGGCATGTGTGAGGGAGGCTTATTCCAAGATTTGTAAACATTATTTGGGTAAAGAGGGAAAAGCCAGATACTGTGCTTAGTACCTGGGTGAGAGGATCATTAGTAACCCAGACCTCAGCGTCACGCAGTATGCACACAGATCTGCATGTAACAGATGTAACATACACACAGATCTGCATGGAACTGATGTGATATACACGTGGATCTGCATGTAACCGATGTGATTTACACACGAATCTGCATGTAACTGATGTGATATACACACAGATCTGCATGTAACTGATGTGATATACACACGGATCTGCATGTAACAGATGTGATATACACAC